TGTGTTCTGTGCATTTTAGCTTGTGTACTGATCATTTTAGCTCATGATCTTTTGATTTTAGCTTGGTTCTATTGATTTTAGCTTATGATCTGTTGATTTTAGCTTGTGTTCTATTGATTGTAGCTTGTGTTCTACTGATTTTAGCTTATGTTCTCATGATTTTAGCTTGTTTCTATTGATTTTAGCTTTTATTCTGTTGATTTTAGCTTGTGATTTTTTTACTTTAGCTTGCATTCTGTTGATTTTAGTTTGTGTTCTGTTGATTTTAGCTTGTGTCCTGTGCATTTTATCTTGGGTACTGATAATTTTAGCTCATGTTCTCTTGATTTTATCTTATGTTCTGTTGATTTTAGCTTGTGTTCTATTGATTTTATCTTATGTTCTGTTGATTTTAGCTTGTGTTCTATTGATTGTAGCTTGTGTTCTACTGATTTTACCTTACGTTCTACTGATTTTAGCTTATGTTCTCTTGATTTTAGCTTGTTTCTATTGATTTTAGCTTTTATTCTGTAGATTTTAGCTTGTGATTTTTTTATTTTAGCTTGTATTCTGTTGATTTTAGCTTGTGATTTTTTTATTTTAGCTTGTATTCTGTTGATCTTAGCTTGTGTTCTGTTGATCTTAGCTTGTGTTCTGTTGATTCTAGCTTGTGTTCTGTTGATTCTAGCTTGTGTTCTATTGATTTTAGCTTGTGTTCTATTGATTTTAGCTCATGTTCTATTGATTTTAGCTCGTTTTCTGTTGATTGTAGCTTGTGTTCTCTTGATTTTAGCTCGTGTTCTGTTGATTCTAGCTTGTGTTCTATTGATTTTAGCTTGTGTTCTATTGATTTTAGCTCATGTTCTATTGATTTTAGCTCGTTTTCTGTTGATTTTAGCTCGTGTTCTGTTTATTTTAGCTTGTGTTCTATTGATTTTAGCTCATGTTCTATTGATTTTAGCTCGTTTTCTGTTTATTTTAGCTTGTGTTCTCTTGATTTTAGCTTGTGTTCTGTTGATTTTAGCTTGCATTCTGCTTGTTTTAACTTCTGTAGCTCAGTTTTAGCTCCATCAGAAACTTTAGCGCAGTAGCTGTTTGCAGAAAGGGCCGTTCCTGCAGCCGAAAGGAGTCAACGAGCAGCTTTTGTTGTCTCTCCTCTGCTGAACTCGTTCCAGACGCCTCCCTTCTTTGTTCACGCAGCCGCGGCTCGGGTTTCTCTCTGGGAAAGTGGCCTCCTGAACCGACCCGCTGCGGCACCACTCCCTCTGCTTGCTGCCACCATCCTGCTCTGCAGCCGAGCAGAGGGAGGGTTCCTCCGGGAGAGAAGGGAGCTGAGCAGAACCACCCCGTAACGTCTGGTTCTAATAAAGCCTCCCCCTCACCGGGCCCAGCTTCAGCAGAACGGGCCAAAGCTCAGAGCTTTACCTTCTTTGTGTGAGGGGCCGACTCTCCATGTTTGGAGCAGAAAGTCTTTGCTCGGCTGCACAAAGACGACACGAGAAAGAAAAGAGAAATGGACAAAAGGGAGAGTGACAGAGAACAGGAAGTGGCGGCAGGTACTGTGGTTCTGATCCATTCAGGAGGAACGTGTGAGTCAGGCTGAGCTTGGATTAATCAGCGCTCGTCCTGCAGCTGAGCTGACATTCATTCACGACCTCCTCGTCTGTGAGTCACCACCTAAACTCACGCCACGTGGAAAAACACACCCACGCAGCCACTTGGCTGACTCAGAACGCTCAGTTTTTAAAATCTCACACGCTGCAGCAGCACCAGAACCAGAACCACGGTCCGAACAAAGGGCCTTCATGTGGTTCCAGGACTGCTGCAGTCAGGGCTTCCTGCTGCGTGTTCCTCTTTAAACCTGTTTGCAGCGGCAGCAGGTTTCTGCCTCTGATCGTTGGGTTTGATGAGTCGAGGTTTCGCTGCTGCTCGCCGAGCGGGAGGCCCGTTCATCAGAGCTGCAGAACTTTACTGCAGCTACTAACAGATAATGACAAACAGGCCCATCAAGCTCAGCTCCACGCTCCAATCCTGCTGTTCCTGCGAGAACTCAACCGCTGCACAGAAACCAACATTTACACAGAAACATTTCTACTGTTTGAACAATCAAATCTTATACTGTTGAGGAAAAGTAGAATTTTGAAACTATCCATTCATTATCTTTTACACACTTCTTCCATTTTGGGTCACGGGGGTCGCCGGTGCCCATGTCCAGCAATCACTGTGCGAGGGGCGGGGACACCTGGACAGGTCTCCAGTCCATCACAGGGACACATAGAGACACACGAGACAAACAACCATTCACTCTCTCTCTCTCACCTAGAGATAATTTAGAGTTACCAATCAGCCTAACATGCATGTTTTTGGTCTGTGGGAGGAAACTGGAGCACCCGGAGAAAACCCACGCATGTACGGAGAGAACATGCAAACTCCACCCAGAAAGGCCCCTGGACCGGGGTTTGAACCAAGGACCTGCTCGCAGAGAGGCAGCAGCTCTAATAGTTGCGCCACCGTGCTGCCGACATTTTGAAACTATTATTCCCAATTAAAGTCGCCAATCTTACACTACTTTTTATTTTATTTTATTTTTTTACAGAAAAGCAAAATTTCAGAAAATTTTATTTTTGTTTGGATGATTAACATTTTTTAAGTTAAAACAAAATAAATCTAAATTCTCAAAAGTATATTTTGTCATTATTTGAGCTACAAATCTTGACGTTCCTGTTCTTTTTCCTTCATAATCTTCATGTTCTTCTTTTTCTAAATGTTCTTGTTCTACTTCTGCTTGTTCTTTTAGTTTTTCTTCTACATATTCTGGTTAGTTTTCTGGTTGTTCTTTTTCTTGTTGTTCTGCCTGTTATGTTTTCTTCTTCTTGTTCTTGTTATTCTGCTAGTTCTTTTTATGTTTGTTCTTGCTCTTCTTTTGCTTGTTCTTCATGTTTTATTCTTCTGTTAGTTCTTGCTCTGCTTGTTTTTGTTCTTCCTCAGCTTGTTCTTTTTTCTTCTACATGTTGTTGTTATTTTTCTGCTTGTTATTTTTCTTGCTGTTATTCTGCTAGTTCTTGTTCTGTTTGTTCTTGCTCTTCCTTTGATTGTTCTTTTTGTTGTTCTGCTGCTAGTTCTTGTTCTGCTTGTTTTTGCTCTTCCTCAGCTTGTTCTTGTCCTTCTGCTAGTTCTTGTTTTTCTTGTTCTTCTGCTAGTTCTTGTTCTGCTTGTTATTGTTCTTACTCCGCTTGTTCTTGTTCTTCTGCTTGTTCTTGTTGTTATTTTTCTGTTAGTTCTTTTTCTTTTTCTGCTAGTTCTTGTTCTGCTTGTTATTGTTCTTACTCAGCTTGTTCTCGTTCTTCTGCTTGTTCTTGTTGTTATTTTTCTGCTAGTTCTTTTTCTTTTTCTGCTTGTTCTTGTTCTCCTTATTAATAACAATAATAATAATAATAATAGTAGTATAAATTTTATAATGATTGATTTTTATTATCCATTTTCTTCTTCATGGTTTTAAATTAAATGTAACAGAATCAGGTTGCGGGCAGCACGGTGG